ACGAAATACTTGTACTTGTTACAGTACCAAGTAACATGTTCCAACCTTCGATTGTTCGAATGACAAGAAGGCAGTATTTATTCGTATTGCGCAGCGGTTCGTACATTAATACTAGGGGCACTATAAAATAATGGGTCGTTCCCGAAAACCCAGAAGCCTAGATCAAAGGAGCCTAGACCTATTCTGCTGGGTCCAAAAGTACTTTACCCAGAAGATGGAAGCCAACCCCCCTTGACTTCCACTGTCTGGGTTTCTGGACTGGAATATGTAATAAAAAAAATTAGTTGTGGAAAAAAAAATCCATGATGACGGAGCAGTTCSTATTTTTTATTTAGTTTCTTATTTGTTGTTCCTCTTACTAAAATTCCAGATTCCAAAAACACATGTTTTGGACACCAATCTAGTACGCCCCCAAGAACCCCTACTAAAATAGGTCTTAGTAGGYTTCTGGGTTTTCAGGAATGGCCCAATAGAAGATTATGAAATACTTCCTCTGTCTGGCCATGACCATCCGGTGACTCAGATTTTGCTGTCCATTTTTTTAAACTTGTTCTTGAGTAAATTAGTGACTACTAATTTACTTAAAACTCATCAAATTGTTTCATTCAACCCCCAAATACACACATGACTGTGTAAAACATGTAAAATCAGTGCTACAAACTAGATATGTGCATGCATGATTAAAAATTATTTTATTCTTCTTCACCTATGATGATGGAAATTCTGAAGTTTCTTACATTGACAATGGTACTGGTGAGCACCTCTTTYGATATCAAATGACCAATATAGTGGTACTACTAAGGAAGCAACAAGCTATAGTACTAGTCCAAAGTATAGCCTGTGAAATAACTTTATCTTGGCTATCACCATCAGCAAGTAGTGGCATATCAAAATGACCATTGGAACCCTTTCAACTGGTAGTACTACTACTAGTGGTAATACTGCTAGTAGCAAGACAATTCAAACAGGTCTGCTTGAAGGCCTAGCTACTACTACTATTGCACTCCAAAGATTTCCTGACACTACTAGTATGAATACAAATAACACACAAAATACCGTTGGGTGGGATGAGTATGATGCAAAAAAAAAAATTTAATTGCCCAAATATTGAGTTTAACTCAGCAAAACTAGAGGTGCAATCACATGAGGACTTGCATTGTTTGATGCTTTGCCTAGTACTACTCATTCTATGGTTGTACCAGAAAACCCTAATGCTTTGTTGTATTCTCGTCCTAGTACTACTAGTAGTTGTGCTCTTTTGGGAGTGTCACCCATTCTTCTTGCTTAGAGCTACTAGTAGTACCACTACTACTTGAAGCCTCCTTATCCTCACCAGCACGTTTAATGGTTCTTGCCTTCTTCCTAGTAGTACCTGTTCATGTGGTTAAATATAATATTGAGGTTTTAAWAATTGGCAGTGGCTGCCCACCATATTTGATGTTTGACAGATTTGAGAAAATGAGCTCCCAAACCCCCAACAAGTTAGCAAATCTTTTTGAGGACTGAAACAGTTTTTTAGAAAATATGATTATGGGACAGGTTGAAATTTCAAACTGCTGCTGCCCAAATGAGGAGGTGCTGCAGGTGCATCATTCCAGCTATACTA